AGAGTTGAATAGGAATCATGACTTGCTGTTTATGGTAGATGCTATAGAGGCACTTTGTGTGAGGTGTGCCTGTGTTTAGTGATTTTCTTTTTTCTTTCCTGAAGTGTAAAGATGCATCATGAGGCAAAGGAGTGCAGTGCTAAAGAGCTGAACATTGTAACCCCTTTGCGATATTCTCAACGCATTCGGGAGAAGGTGTGCAAGGCATCTGATGCTTCTAATGATCAAGATCCATCTGCCACTTCATTTGAACAGCTGGGAGACTTGGAATCAAAAGCCACTGTGTTTATCCACGAACAGAGCAATGCCCTCCGAGAAACAAGCGCTGAAATAGACGAGTAGAAAGTAGTGTTATGGCCACACAGTGGTTAAAGGTTGGATACTTTTTAAGGAGGGTTGAGTAGTAGTCGGTTTTAGCAGCTTTAGAGAGGCTCCGTCTAAAATGTGTGGGTGGCTTAAGGTGAAATATGACTGTCTGAATAATAAACTTTTTTGGAGTTTCTGCTTTTTCATAAGTGTGATAAGTCTATTCTAGTTTAGTACTTATAAATATCTGTCTTCATGTTAAATATTTCATTAAATATCAAAGTAAGGATGAGGTGTAACACTAGTTACAACAGATAGTTGATTGTAGTATATTGCTGATAGCTACTGTTTTCCTGTTGCAATTCCTATTAATTCCTTAGAATTCCATGATCTTTTAGTTAAAAAAAAATTAATCTAGGTGTTCCAACAGGCCAACATCTAGTTCTGACAACTGAAGCTGGCTAGTAAGGTGTATGCTAAACTGTATCTGTTCTGTTAAATCTCTTGATAATGAGCAATGTGTAAGTCATATGAGATCTGATACACTACTTACTATGTGACTGTTTTAATGTTGGTTTGTATTAGTCTGTAATACAGTAGACTTTTGAAATCATCAACTGAGTTGTGTTTGTTATTTATAAGCTTTAAGCTGGAAACTACTTGGTCGTGTCACCAAAATCAGGAATAAAACCCCTTGACACCAATGTGGTATTAAGCACAGGCATTATTTATTCCTGTACCGAATGCACGGGAGATGCTCCTCCAAACTGCGTCCCAACTATCCAAACGTTTCACTATCTATGCATTTCAGAAAAGAAAGCAATTAGTGCTCATGGGTCACAAGTTAACTAACTCATTAATTAGTATTCTATCTTCTATTGGTTAGTTGTTCTTTTGCTTCTTATGCTAATTAGTGGCTTTTGCATCCCTGGCTTCTTGGGGATCACCCATGTGGCTTTTGATGGTCTCGGGTGGTCCCTGGTGGTTGTTGAAAAGATGTCCATTAGTGCCCTTTCCATGAACTTTGAGTCTTCCTTCCATAGATGATCTTGGCTCAGTTCATTATCTCCTTTGAAGATTACCAAGTTCCTTATCTTGGTCTTGGTTGACTTCTGCTGGCTCCTCTGCACTGCTCCAGGCTGAACTAGTCACATGAGCAAGAATTTATGTCCTTGAGTGTATTCTTGTCTGAGGCCCCTTACAATTCCCCCTTTGAGACCTGCTCACAGAGTCCTAGATAAGTTCTTTTAGCTACCTTGCTAATTCTGCACCGATTAACACTACTCCGCTAATTTTGCAACATAATGAAGAACTCCTGAATAATATTCTGAAGGAGAAAGTAACATAACTACTTGAAAGTAATATATGAGAAGAAGAAGGTGCAAATGGTACAAAGGTGCAAACAATGTAATCTGAGGCACGCTGGTTTTCTTTCTGTGCATTCTAGGATGGTATAAAGCAGTTTTGCCACAGAGTGAAGAACTCCTGAATAATATTCTGAAGTATAAAGTAACATAACTACTTGAAAGTAATATATGAGAAGAAGAAGGTGCAAATGGTACAAAGGTGCAAACAATGTAATCTGAGGCACGCTGGTTTTCTTTCTGTGCATTCTAGGATGGTATAAAGCAGTTACTTCCCGCAAGGCCACAGAAGGAGTTAGATATGTGGCACCAAAGGGTAACTAGGAACAGGGCACTGTGCTCTTAGCTCGCTGTTTCCCTGCCCGCCCGGCGCGGGCAGAACTCTGACACGATTCCCTGCAGCCCCGCGGGTGTGTCCCGATCCATCCCAGGGGCGGCAGCGCCGTCCGTCCCGTCCTGCCCCGGCTCG